GGTTCTGCCCCTAGTGCCCCGAAGATTTCCATCATAAACGGGAGTCAACAGATACAACAAGCAAGAAGACTAGGTCTACATAACCCATATAAAAGTTATCAAGCAGACAAAAATATGTTTAACATAATTAAAGACACAAAAGAAGGAATAACACAAGGAAAAAAGACACTGTATATAAAAAAGGAGAGATTTTCTAGAATTGAAAACTAAAATTAAAAACCCAACACATGGGCTAAGCAGCAAGATAGACAAGGTGATTGCACTCATTTACCCTCTCACCAAGTGTACCCAAGGGTTCCTGTTTCTCCACATCTTTCCCAACACTTGAGGGTGGTGCAAACTATACACAGGTAGGCAAATCACAGATTGCATTGTGTCTTTACAGAACTGAGCCTACTCTTTCTTCTGGTTTCCTGGGATTCAAAATTTTAGACACACAAGGATTTTAAGCCTCCCACTCTTCCTACCCACCCACCCTTGTTTCTTTTTTTTTTGGTCCCTGAGGGTGTTTTGTTTTTGGGGGTCAGTCCTTAGCAGGGCTCTCCTGCAGCAGTGCTGCCTGACATGAGGCTGTTCTTTCTTCCTGGTGCCCACACCCAGAAGCCTCTTACTCAGTGGCTTCAGCATTCCACTTTTCCTGCTTCAGGTCTTAACTGTGCTAATCCTGGGATTGTCTTGGTGCTCACCCAGCACTCCTCTCAGCCCCACCCTTCCTCCTCCACAGGCCAAAGCTGAGCCTAATTCTCACCGTTCCTTGTCCTCTCTGTCAGTCTCTGACCCAACACAAACAAATACAGATCTGTCACTAACCTGTAATAACCTTAAAGTCTGGCCAAGAGGAGTTTATGTGACACACATACAGTTGAGAACGTACCAAGGCCATATTTTTCCAAACCAAAAACTAGACACATAGCCAGGCAGAGCCTGAAAACCCAGATGTAGTATAGTGTATGGTTAGAGCATGGGCTCCTCAAGATGAGTCTTAGATCCACTGCTTAGCAGCATGCACTTGGGCAGTCACTTAGCCTCTCTGTGACTCGGCTTTCTCATGCTAATGATAGTAGTCACCTTCTAAGGTTGTTATGATAATTAAATGAGTTAATATATGTTAAGTATTTAGAATAGTGCCTGGCTTATCATACGCACACTGCATGTGTTAACTATCATCATTAATACTGTGCTCCAAGGGTTTCCAGTGGCTGATTTTTGGGACTGTCCCAGGAAATAGCAGATGGCAGTCAAAGTCACTAAAACCAGGCGCTACAGAGTTATAAAGTGCTACTTCAGTTATCCAACCAGTATTTTCTTCTGTTCTTTTTTGTCTTCTCAAGGTTCACCCAATAATTATACGGTTCTTATTCTTCTGAAATAGCCCAGAAAATCTCCAAGTACTCACCAAGAGCGTTAAAGCCTCCTTATTTCTGCTTCAAGCCCTTTAGCTCTCCCTTTTACAAACCATTCTGCTTGAAGCAGCCACCAAATACCATGCTTTTGGTATCTGTGAAGTTGCTTTGTTTTCTGATAGTGTTAAGCTGACATTGGCAGGGCACAGGGTAAGGAACAGAGGTGGGAACCACTCCCTTCCCTCCAAGGGCAGAAAGCCACCTTGAGTTGGAATGGCTTTAGGATCCTACATTGGCCAAGATACCTAGGTCCAGAGCTTTTCTTTAACAATGCTCATCTATTTGGTCAAAATCCCTGAAAAGCTGTTCTTAATTCTCTGTTGTGACTTATAAGTGGATTATTTCTCTTGGGATAGTGCACAATTCTGCATCAGGCTACATCAGACCATTTATCTATAAAGAGAAAGGATGCTGATTCAGAAAGGATGATAATGGACCCTTGTAACTGCAGGCATTAGATAATGTTGCCTGTGTGCTGTTAATAAAGTATGCTTGCAAGCAAGAGTGTCTGGCCATTCAGTAGATTGGATTCTCCTACCAAACATCCTCAGATACTTTTTGAAGAATTCAAGCAAATACAAGTGTGACACCTATAAACTAATTCATATCCTGAAGTCTTAGGCATCATTAGCTCAAAAGGGTAAGTACATCAATTAACGTAAAAATATATATTCAGTTTCTAATTTAGAATAACTTTCCCTTGACTAATCTCAAAGTAATAAGGTTTCATTGTATAGATTTTGCAAATGGGCATTTTTGCATTTTCAGACAGTAGGAAGCCAGGCAGCGTTCAGTAAGTGTCCTGGAACATCTAGATAATCCCCACACTCCAGTGAAATACAGTTTTTCATCTCTGACTTCTCCAAGCATTCTAACATTACCTGTTTTCAGGAGGTTGTGAGTTGTTAGTGATCAGCCTCATATCCAATCTAGGGATAATGTTAGTATTTATCAACAACTAATTATTGAGTTTCTTATTTATACTGAAATCATAAGACTCAAGATCCTAGGTGTTGCAAACCATTAACACACTCAGCTGCTAACCAAAAAGTTGGTGGTTTGAGTCCACTTGGAGGTGCCTTGAAAGAAGGGTCTGGTGATATACTCCTGAAAAACCAACAATTGAAAACTCTGTGGAGCAGCTCTACTCTGACATGCATGGAGTCGCCACAAATCAGAATTAATTCAGTGGCAACTGGTTTGGTTTTTTTTTTTTTTTTTAAATTTATGCTGAGCCCTTACAGGGCTTTGAGAGGTCAAAGACCAATTAAAGAGGATCTTTGTCCTGGAGGTGCTCACAGCATGGTGGGAGACATGGGTACAGACAGAATTATGATCCCAAGCCATTAGTTCTATTGACAGAAGTTTAGGTCTATGGGGATATAATAAAATTAGAGCTCCCGGGGGAGAAGCAGTGGAAAGAGACTTTAAGGAGGAAGATAACATGTAGCCTGGGCCTTTTAAGGTTACATAGGAGTTCACCAGGTAGAAAAAGAGAACTTGTCATTTACTCTAAGCAAGAGCTGCAGAAGACTGGTGGCGCAAGGGTTAAGTGCTCAGCTGCAAACTGAAAGGTTGGTGGTTCAAGGCTCTGCGGGAGAAAGACCTAGCAATCTGCTCCCATAAAGATGACAGCCTAGAAACCCTACGGGGCAGTTCTGCTCTGACGCATGGGGTTGCTGTGAGGGAGCTGTGGCTGAGAGACGGAGGATACACAAAGGGGATGTCACTGGAAACAAGGTTGAAGTGACAGTCTAAAAGGCATAAAAAGGAGCTATTGAAGGTTTTTAAGTAGAAGAGTCACATAATCAGATACGGGTTTAAGAGAACTCTTACTTGAGTCTCTTCAGATTATCCTTTTGCCTCTCTTCAGTTGCAGACACCTCGATTCATTTTTTTTCCCAGAAGCTCAGGAAAATGCACAGGCAAGGTTAAATATTACTCTCATGGCACCTTTCAAGGCACCTGTGGTAGTGATAGTGTTAGGAGCCCTGGTGGCGCAGTGGTCAAAGCACTCAGCTGCTAAGAAAGGTTGGCAGTTTGAACTGACTAGCTGCTCCTTGAGAGAAAGCTGTGGCAGTCTGCTTCTGTAAAGATTACAGCCTTGAACGCCCTATGGGGCAGTTCTACTCTGTCTGTATAGGGTCGCTAAGAGTTGGAATCGACTTGATGACAATGGATTTGTTTTGTTTTCTGTTTGTGGTAGTGTTGCTAGATAGTTAAAAAAAAAAAAGATGGAAGTAGAATCGCTAGGCATTGCTTCCTTGAGACCTACTGGAAAGGCCTGGTTCCAGAGGTCTTGGCAGAGAGAGTGACAGGTCCCATCTGGGAAAGTAAACAGAAGCCTGGAGCAGAAGTCAGAAGAGCTGACCAGCAGTGGGACACCTCTCCTTCCTCCGCCTCAGTTTCTTCACCTGTACCCTCTGGTAGGGCTTAAACTGAATCATCTTGATGCTCCCTGCATCTCCAAAACTTGGTACATAAAACAACACATTGTCGCCCGAGCTCATTTTGAACACAAACCTCAGTTTCAACCAAACATCCTTCCAGTTGGAATGATTTGAGTTTCACTTTTTATCCTTTTTCTACCTCAGATGTCTTGGGGAGACCCCGTGGAGATCACCCAGGGAAAGAAATTGGTGGGGTGGGGGTGGTTGGGTGCTGAACGTTGACCTCACCTCCAGGAAGTTGCCACATCTGTTAAGGTCAGTGTCTGATGTCCCATCCTACTTAAAGAACGGAGCCTGAGAACTTCCCTTGGGCTTGAAATACTGCCCTCCCTGCTCTAGAGCAGGCAGTATCCATTGACAAAAACCACCAGCGAAACCATGAGTTTATTTACCCACTGGCAAGTCAACAAACCCGTAAGAGGCAATGGAGGGTGATTGGGCTTGTTGTAGCAACTGTCAAGAGTATAAATCAATCGCTGCTCTTAGCCCAAAACAGTGAGATTTAATATTTTGTCTTTTACAATACCTTTGATTTACTACAATCACATTACTTTTTCAAATAAACCTTCATTAGTAACAAGAAATGCAAAGAAAATATCCCCCAAAGTAACAAGATCAAACAAAAGCAGAAAGACCTTTCTTTATGCGTTAGAATGGATGTCTGGTAACTCCCCGAATAATTTCCTGTTTACGTTTTTTTTTTTTTTTAAACTTATGGCTTTTCTTTAGTATACTTCCCATACCTCAGTTTTTTCAGGAGTTTTTGGACTCAGTAGCGTTCACAACCCATATAATTAAAAGCAAATTTATTATTTCTATTTCAGCTGATTGAAATGTTCTTTTACATGAGCTGCCAAAAAGTTTATGGTTTTCTTAATACGCCCATTAAAGTTGGTAAATTACAGGGACCCACAGATTTTAGAAGACAAAGATTGTAGAGCACGATTAGCTAGCTGCAGGGAAAGCAAAGCCCCCTTCTCCTTACTCCCCTTCCTCCCCACAAAAAGTTCTAATTTTCTACACTTCTTTCACAGAAAGGATTAGATTTTCTGGGTATTCCCCTCCCAGCAGAGTTCTGTAGCCTGGGGCACCAAACATGCCTTCATTATCCCCCTTGCCAGGAGAGGAAAGTCAACAGATAGCTTACCCCGGCCGGTGCGGATGAGCGCGAGCGCCAGCGCAAAGACAAGCGCAGCCGGGGGAGCCTTCATGTCAGCTCGCCTCGGCTCGGTCATGATGCTGTGCTGGGCTTCAGCCTCCTTGAAACGTGAACATTTCCTGTTTCCTGCTTGTTTGGGTCGGTGCTAACTTAAAGGAGAGGTGTTTGCCTGCTTTTTAGGAAGTGATGTAATTCTGTAGAAGCCAGTCAGACCAGCAAGGATTGCAAAAGAGCAGTTGTTCTTCAAGCACTGATTCAGGGAGCACGCCTCTCAAGTCCTTTACAGTCCTCGCCCTGCCATAGGCCTCCATCTTCTGAAGTGGCCCCAGTAGAAACAGTGTCTGTTGCTCAGATGTTGTTTGGTATCTGGAACTGGGGGTCCTGGACCACACACATTCTCCCTTTGTAATTTTGCACATCTCTGACGAGTCCCTGGGTCTGCTTTAGAGTCCAGAGCAGTCTCTGAGCAGCACAAACCGTTAAGCTCTGGACCATTAGCCGGAAAGGTTGGTGGTTCGAACTCACTCAGAGCCACCTTGGAAGACGGGCCCAGGTTTCAGCTTCCGAAAGATCACAGTCTTGAAAACTCTATGGAACAGTTCTACTTTGCACACATGGGGTGGCCATGAGTCAGAATTGGTTCAATGCAACAAACAAAAGACCAGAGCAGCGCTCTCCCGTAGAACTTTCTGTGACGATAAAAAATGTCCGAAATCTACACCATTCAGTACAGTAGCCACTTGCCACATAGACCACTGAGCACCTCAAATGTGGCTACTGCAACTGAGGAAATGACTTTTTTATTTCATTAATTCTCATTATTAAATAACTCCATGTGGCTGGGGCTGCCATGTTGGACAGCGCAGTCCCAGACAGCAGGTACAACTGTACCAACAGAAAACTGTCAGACCATTTCTCTCCAGCCAGCCCCTCCTTCTCCTTTGGCCCTTGAATGTCCCCAGGGCTGATCTGGAGATAGAGGACCCAGAGAAACAATCTTTTAAACAGACAGTCCCTGGGTGGTGCAAAGTTAATGTGCTTGGCTGCTAAGTGAAAGGTTGGAGGTTTGAGCCCACCCAGAAGTGCCTTGGAAGAAAGTCCTGGCCATCTACTTCCAAAAAATCAGCCATTGAAAACCCTATGGAGCACAGTTTTACACTGACACACAATGGGTTGCCATGAGTCAAAATTGACTTAAGGCAACTGGATTGGTTTTTTGGTTTGTTTGTTGGGGTGGGGGGAGGGGGGTGGGGGCAAACTACATTTCACCTTTCTTCCTTCTCATATGAAAATGAATTTCTCAGAAGTTCTTAGCACACTAAATAGGACTGAACTGGATTAGAATGGGGTTGGAAATCCTACCCAATTGAAACAATGCAGGAAGGAGATGTCTGTTTAGATCAATATTCAGGGAGATTAGAATGTGTTAGGTTTTGGTGTCCTAATTGAAGTCTTTCCCTTGGTTTAGGTTTTCACAGATTTGCACAGAATGCAATTGTATAGTCATGTTTGTTGTGGAACCAGGACAGAGAGGCAGATAGAGAGGGGAGCAGACACCCGTTTTATCTCTCAACTCTTCTCTGCAGATTACCATCAGAGTCACCACTTTCTGCTTGTCTTTGTCTTCAGTGATATGGTAGATGTAAACACACGAGGTGACCGGAATTCCTCCATCCTTAATGCAGCCATTAATTTTTTCTTTAGTGCATTGCTGCTTTTCAATGTCATTAGTCACTGTTTATCTCAGTTCTTATCCACAAGAAATAGGTTGGTGATTCATGTAATGATCAGTTTGTTAATGGATTTACAGTATGCATTTTAATGTCTTAAACTGGCAATTAAATTAATTCCTGATAAAATATACTTTTGCACTTTAGGTGACGATACAGAACAAACAGCAAAAGAAAAGAGACATGTGGAAAACTGTATAATGATTTGAAAACAACAGGGAAAGAACTATTAATCAAACTCCTGCTGAGCATGTGAATAGATCACTGGCTCCCAGACCCTCTAGTGCTGTTGGGTTAGCAGTTATTCCTGGACTAGCACATGTTTCTCCAGCTGTGACATACACACGTGAGAGAGAAGGTCCAGGGATTGGGAGTTATCTTCATCTTGCCATTTATGCCTTATTGAAACCCATCCCAGAGCTGAGGCACATGTTTGGCAAGGGCAAGGTCGACAGCCTTGGTTTCTTAAATTTTAAAACTACAGCTCACCGTGGAAGACTGTGGAGTCAGGTATCTGTGGCTAGACCACAAAAACAAAAACAAACCAGTTGACGTCTAGTGGATCCTGACTTGAGGTGACCCCATGCGTGCAGAGTAGAACTGCTCCGTAATCAAGGCTGTGACCTTTTGGAAGCAGAACACCAGGCCTTTCTTCTGAGGTGGCTGTGGGTGTGCTCGAACCACCAAACTCTCAGTTAGTAGTCGAGCGCTTAACGGTTCGTACCACCGACTACAGGACTTATTCTGCAGTCCTCAGCTGAGCCCCAAGATTTGGCCAAACAGCTCCTCAGGCTGGATTTCCCTTTCCTACAAGTGTGCTCTCCGCTGCCTCTGAGAATGATGTACAAAATAAACCGAGGCAGTGGAGAAATCCTGCACAACCATGTAATTTTCTTTTGACCCCTGTGCTCTGCAAGGCCCTTAGCGTGATCAAATCGATCTTTCAGGGGAGAAAATTACCATCGCTGATCAGAAAATCATAGTACCTCAGTGATCTCTAAAATCAAAGGGAGGCTGTGTGGTAGGTGAAGGGCTATTTACTTCTGTTTGTTCTAATTTCACCAACCATTAATTTTGGCAAAGGGCCACTGCCCAGGCCTCGGATTAAATCCCCATACACTCATGGCAGGAAGTCAGGGCCTCAGTCAGAACCATAATGTGCTGTGAATGGCAGGCACACAGGCAGGGTAAAGTCGCCTTGGTGCCTGCCGTTGCCTTTCCAATAGCGTGAAAGAAGTATGTCGTTGTTAGCTGCTGTCCTGTCAGACCCTAACTCATTGCCACCCCATGCACAACGGAATCAAATGCTGCTCAGTCCTGCACCATCCCTATGATTTGTTGAAAATCAGACCGTTTCCATCCACAGTGTTTTCAGTGGCTGACTTTTGGAAGAAGATAGATTGCCAGACCTTTTTCCTAGTTTATCCTAGTCTGGAAGCTCCACTGAAACCTGTTCAGCATCATAGCAACATACAAGCCTCCACTGACAGATGGGTGGTAGCTGTGCACAAGGTGAGTTGGGCAGGAATCAAACACAGGTCTCCCACATGGAAGGCAAGAGTTCTACCACTGAACAACCCATGTCTTTCTCTGAAAGGAGTATGGTGCCTAGGAAATGTCAGGAAGATGCGAAGGTGCCACCGTCATCATCGTGCTCAGCAGGGCAGGAAACATAATACTAGTTCTGTTGTTGCTAGGTGCCGTTGAGTCTGTTCCAACTCATAGCAACCCTATGTATAACAGAACGAAAGACGGTGGGGTCCTGCACCATCGCCATAATTATTGTTATGTCTGAGCCCACTGTTGCAGCCACAGTGTCAATCCATATCGTTGAGAGTCTTCCCTTTTTCTCTGACTCTTTACCAAGCATGGTGTCCTTCTCCAGGGACTGGTCCCTCCTGAAAACATGTCCAAAGTACGTGAGACAAAGTCTTGCCATCCTCGCTTTTAGGGAGCATTCTGGTTATACTTCTTCGTCCAAGACAGATTTACTCGTTCTTCTGGCAGTCCATGGTATATTCAATATTCTTTGCCAACACCATAATTCAAAGGTCTCAATTCTTCTTCAGGCTTCCTTATTCATTGTCCAGCTTTCGCATGCATATGAGGTGATTGAAAATACCATGGCTTGGATCAGGCGCACTTTAGTCCTCCAAGTCACATCTTTGCTTTTTAACACTTTAAAGGGAACTTTGCAGCAGATTTGCCCAATGCAATACGTCCTTTGATTGCTTGACTCCTGTTTCCATGGGCATTCGTTGTGGATCCAAGTAAAATGAAATCCTTGACAACTTCAGTCTTTTCTATGTTTATCATGATGTTGCTTATTGGTCCAGTTTTAAGGATTTTTGCTTTCTTTATGTT